GCGTTCGATTGCAGTGTACGTTCGATTGCTTGCCTAGTCGACAAGGCCAACAAACGATTAGCTCGGTTTCTTTGTTCTACCAGATCCTGAAGACCAGCGTCGTCTAAAAGTCCTTCCAAGGACCTGGATCTTCGATGAGAAGCTTGAGCTAAGAGAGATGGGTCTTGCGTTGACTCGTCAATTGGTGCGACATTCGTCCTGCCATTACCATCGTCACTTTTGTCCCGTAATCCGTGAGGATAAAGATTTCTCGCATTAACTTCCGGCAAAGGATCGGTCGATTTGACTCTACGAAGGGTGTCGGCTTCGTAGAAATTTCTTTTATCTACCAAATCCGCTTTGGTGTCGCCCAACAATTGACAAGTTGTTTTTCTCAGTTCTGCCGCTATGCGTCTAGCTTCGTCAATATCTTCGACTTGAATTTGTCTAGGCATAGGTCTGGCTATTGGATTGATTATACGACCAATATCGTTCCTTTTGTTCATCACCGATGCGTCGTCTCTTTGATTATTCAATTGCGGTAGTCTCGAGACGTGACCACCGTGACCACCGTGACCACCGTGACCACCGTGACCCACGATCGGTTTATCCTTGTTACTTCCTGAGCTACCACGAAGATCCGAGTAATAATACGGAGCTCCCCCGGCGGCGGCGGCGGCGGCGACGGCGGCGACGGCGGTTTGATCGCTTTGAACGCGTTGCTCGGAACCGTTTAAAAACGACAAATACGACGACTGGGATTTTTGATCCGTGTTGGAAGGTGATCTGCAATTGAGCAAAACATTGGGATAACGATTCGATGCCAAGTTGGAACCGAGATCGCTGCTATTTTCCCGGTTTTCTAAAGATCTTCCAAGATCTTCTATTAGGGCAGTAGCAGTAGTTCTATCATCTCGCAAGGAAAATTGTTCGCTGTCCGAACGAACGGCAGGTGAATATCTCAATGGCGAAAAACTCGAAATATTCTCGTAATGAGCGTCTCCCGTGAAGGATTGCGAGTGTTGATGAGAGGGGACAGGTGGTACGTCGCAAACTCTCATAGACGGCAAACTACTTGCCGAACCGATCTTGTTTCTGGTATCGTAACGAAGAGGTTGTCCAAAGTTCAAGGTACTCCTTTTTCTCGCTAGATCTTGACAAGTTGTTTTTTGCAATTTGTCAACTACCAACATGTTCTCGTTGAAACCGTAAATACTGTGGTAACTCAAATCCTTGGCATATAGATCGACGTTGAATGCATCACGAGCTTGCAATTCTTCGAGATATCGATCGAGATCGATGCTGGTACCACCACCACTAGCACCATCACCATCACCATCACCATCACCACCACCACCTTCGACCTCGAAATGATTTCCAAGAGATTCAAATTCGTCTAGACTGTCCAAAACTTCGCAAAGTTCGTCGCTGACCGGTCTTCTCTTCAATTGCCTGTGCCTAGCTGCCTGTTCTCCTGGATTTCTGAGTTCGACCGATACCGAATCGCTTCCGCTGGCACTTTCCAAGGATATCCTACTGTCTCGGAAGGTCGAACCGGATATTTCTTCTGAAATTTCGGAAAATCGAGAGGGTGATCTTTGAATCCTATCTCCATGATCCAATCTACTACTGTTCCATGATTTTGGAGTATTCACGCTAGAAACGTTTTCCTTCCTAACTGTTACCCGAGGTGGTGGTGGTGATACCTTTTTCATTTCCAACGAGTCTTGTAGGCTATCCAAATCTTCCAAAGGTGGCGGGGAAGTTGGTATAGGTGGCGGGGAAACTAATTCACTATCGGAAGAATCGTGTAATTCAGCGATCATGGTACGACTCGCACCTAAATAATAGGACGCAGGTCGGAATGTATCAGAGAGACTGAATCTAGGATGCCTCGGGGCATCTATCGAATCGAAATCCTTGGAGGATTCATCGTCGGCGTCTGAACTGTCTGATTTCAAAGCCGTCAAAATATCTGGAAGATCCGATCTACCTACGATACGTCCACCCGAATCTTCGTTCTTCCTTCGTTTCGACTTTTTCGACGACGTCTTCTCATCGTCTTTGTCATCTTTATCTTCCTTTTCCGATAACTGGCTAACTTCCATATAAACTGGCTCCATCTTACTATCGGAAACGCAAACGAACTCGTAATGGGAAGCGTCCAAAGTCGAGTAATCGCCGGAGTCGCGATCGTTCGATTCCTTGCCCGAAGCCAACAACGAATGGTTTCCATTGTTCTGCGCCATTTCAACGTACGAACTCTCCTCGTGTTCTAGATTCGCAAATAGGCTCTCCATCATTTTTGGATTAGGACTGTCATCGTCGTTCGGATCTAAAATGGCTTTTCTAGGTGACATCGGTAGATAATGTTCTTCGGGGGTTGAATCTTCTTGTTGCTTGGGTAGCTGCTGATGATTCGTGGTAGTTGTCGAATTTGCATCTTGGATGATAAGTTGTTCTTGGCTCAACTCGGAATCGCATGGGGATAATTTACTGTTCCTCTTTTGTCTAGCCTGAGACCCTTTCTTCTTTCTCATCGTGCCCAAATAAGTTTCCACTTTATTCTCCGATGGTTCGGCGGCGGCGGCGGCGGCGGCGGCGGTTCTTTCCTCGCTCTTATCTCGCTGTTCCAAATCGCTTCCGGTGTCGTAAAGCAACGTTTCCGTATCACTGAATACCCCACGATGCAAAACTTGCGAACGTTTGTCGCGTTCCTCCAATTGACGAACCTGTTGAGACTTTCTTTCAAAATCTGCCAATAAATCTTTAACCGATTTATTACTATCGGTAGAAGCTTGTTTAATGTGTCCACCACCATTATTCACGGATGAAATATTAGACTCATCTTCGATTCCTTTCTCTCCCAGTGCAAAACTGCGAATAATCGAAGATGCCTTTCTCGACGAGTCTAATCTCGAAACGTGTGCCTCGGATGTTTCAACTGGCGATGCTTTCAACGCTTCTTGCATGGTTAACATTTCTTTCAGCGAACTTTCGTCACTTCCAACATTAGATTCAAACGATCTTATCCTCGAACGAACGAGATTCGTACTCTCCATTTTATTTGACAATCCCTCGTCCACTTTTCCACAAGCTTGCTCTTCAACTTGTATATACTGATAAGAAAATTCTTTGATAAGTTTGCTCTCATCGATGTTAGAATCCCATTCTTCCTTATCTTCATTGGAGTTCCATTGAACTGTCTTTTGAAGGGAAGACCACGTTTCCGTGGGAACGTAATCATTCGAATAATCAGTTTCAACGTTGTCCATCGTACTTGATTGTTCTTCGACTCCGTACAAGCTTGATGATTTTAATATACCTGTTGGTTTCTTCTGTAAGGGATGGTTTTGATGCTTGTGCCGAGGTTCGTCGTTGAATAACGTACTACTTTCTAGATCATGCTCGGAATTTCTATCGCATTTGATATTTTCTGAGCCGACAAAGTACGAGTCGGAAGGAGGAAAACTAACCTCTTCGTAACCAGCGTCAGGTGGTATGCTTGACAAATTGGTCTTCATAGAAGAAGGTGTTAAGTTTGTATCGTTGTTGTTGTTGTTGTTGTTGTTGTTAGATCGAATTAACTGCGTCGTTGATGAATTAGCTGGAACGTTCGTACGTACGTTTCCTTGTATCATCATCTTATTATTCTCTTGGGTAGTTGTTGCCGTTGATAAACGATCGTCACCGATATGTCGGGGGCTCCTTCCTGCATGCGAGGGCCTGCGCGTACGTTTTCTTCTAACATCTCCCATCTCTGAATTGTCCGTTACAAAAAAAAAAAACAAACACACGAACGCATGAAGATTTTTATTTTTTTTTTGGTTTTCTTTTTTTAGGTTAGAATCCCCATCATCTTTCCAAACTACCCACGAACGAAATATCATCGAGTTGAGCAGGTTTAACGAAGCTTTTCGTTGCGAACAATTGTCTCGAGATATCATTGCATTGCTTGAAACAATATTACTATTATTATTATTATATTATCAAGTTAACGTAATTAATTTATAAAATGATAGCAATTATCAATGATTCCGAAATCGTTTAGAAAAATGCTCGTTAAACTTGCAAAGCACTCGTGTATACTTTCGATGCGAGAATCAACGAATGCATTAGTGTTAGTCAATCCTCTCTCGCATGCCCATGCCAATCAAAATCCAATAAAGTGTTAAAAGGCATCAAGATAGTCAGATAAATACAATAATTATTAAAGATATTATTCGGATAGAAGGATCGAGTTTAAATGGTTTAGTGTTAATTTTGTTAATCTTTCCCCCATTGACCATTGGGAACCATTTTACCCATTCACCGTTTACCATTCACCAACAACGAGTCTTGGCTTAGCAAAGACTTGTAGCAAAGAAGGAGCCCCGCGGACAGGAAGGAGATAAACCTTAGCTTCTTGTTTTGATATTGGCCTGATTTTTCGTGCTTTTATAAAGAGAACACGTATTTATCATCGATAGGAATAAAAAGGTGAGAAACCAAGATGCGTAAAGAGTAGTGGTAGTAGTAGTAGTAGTAGTAGTAGTAGTAGTAGGTGATAGTAGGATTATCATTCAATTTTGACGGGGAAAAAAAATGATATAAAAATTTAAACGCGTTTTCTTTATAAAATCATTACACACAACATACGGATACGTATTAGTGAAGAAGACGAGAATTTGTTTTTTTCGAAAGAAGCTCGTTGTATAAAATAATAACTGTGTAAAAACAACACAGCATCGAAAAAAATTGCGCAATAATAGCTTTGAGATTCCACTCTTGCCTCTCGTTTAGTTCAAAACGAGTAAGTTGCGTGGTTAAAGCGATTAAATAATACAAGTGTTAGATGATAATCTGCAGATAATCTCAGCTTGATACTATCTATCTATTATAATATTTTAGCAAAAAGTAATCGATAAACCTCTTACAATTGTAACGTACTCGAGAAGACTTATCACTCGACTGATACGTTGACAAATTGACGAGGTCACGATACATAAATCAAATAATAAGTTCTGGAGAATCGTCCCTACCTTCGTCGTCGCTCGAATAACTGTTGTATCGTGAGACGGTAGTAACAGTTCTGCGACCATCGGAACTTTTGCTTCTAATATGTGACCTGTGGTTGTCATCTTTTCTCCGTGAATGACGAGCTTCCGATACCGAAGCTTCGTGAGCTGCCAGATCCAAAAGTGCTTGCTGTTTATAATAATTCGATAATTCGTTTTGTGCTCTGGTACGGTTCATCGATCCGGATGGTTTCCGCGTTAGCGGTGACTGCAACATGCGTTGTTTCCATTCCAACAAACGTTTCATCGATTCTTCTCTCTGTAACATTAAACATAAATTATTAAATTTACTTGTTTATTCCATTTTGACTACTTTTATTTTCAATCAATTTCAAGGTTCCAAATCAAATAACCTGTTGAATTTTTCGTTCCCCGTCACGATTATCTTGTTCAACGGAAGATCGTCCACCATAATCGTCATCGTCTTCGTCCAAAGCAGCAGGGTGTCGAGACCTTGGCAAACGTGCCGATGCTGATCTATAAAATTGCTGTTGCTGCTGCTGCTGCTGTTGTTGTTGCTGCTGTTGTTGTTGTTGCTGTTGCTGTTCGGCCCATCGTTTGGTGGGTCCACCACTGTGTGCTGATTGACACGCCGATTGTATCATGGTAAGCCCATAATTCGGGTGACCAATAGATTTGTTCCAATTCGTCGACGATTCGTATTCGCGTGTCATTGAATTGCGAGCACACGATTCGTAAACTTTTTCCCGTAAAGATCTTCTCAACTTAGCATCGTTGTTGGACAATCTAAGATACACGTGCGACAAATGCATTCGTTTAATTACATTCAATTACATTATCATCAATATTCGACATTCAATTGTTGATAAACGTAACACTTACTCGTTATGTCTTTGTAACGTTTGAGTAGATATATTATGTTGATGTTGATGAGCATGTTCCCGTTGCAAACGTCTCAAGGTAGAACAAGAGGAATCGGGTAAAGTTGCCATACGGATATCACCACCGTTTCTATCGTGAACCGATGGTAATTTTGACGGCACGGTGGCTCGCGATAACGACTGGTTTCTTTGTTGTTGATGGTGTTGCGGTGTTTGATGTAAGTAGACGGCGGATTGACGCATTTGCGCTGCGTATCTGTTTGAAACAATGTTCGTTTCGTAATGTAATTGAAAGATTTTCACATTTAATCAATCGTACCAACCTTTCTTCCGAATAATAATAGCCGTCGTTAGTCGCATCCGATGGATTCATTATATCCAAACTGGACTTGGGCCTTTGGGGGCGTTTTTGTTGGCTCGAGGAACCTTCGTTTTGCACGGGGTTTTGTTGCTGAGGTCGTCTCGTTGCTTCATACTCGAGAAAATCGGCACTGTGGGGTCGCGGTGGTGGTAATTGATGGGATATTGGTTGTCTTATTATGGGAACTGAGAACAAAAACAAATATTTCATTAGATGCGTCACAAGACAAAAGATGAAAAGATCGAATGTAAGTAAAGGTAAGGAGTCGAATAGTACCATTGGGTGGTGTGACTGGTGAATGAAGTTGTTGCTGTTGTTGCATTTGTTGATGTTGTGCATACGTGGGAATAGGTATAGGTGCTGGTGCAGTTGCTTTGGTGTATCCAACGACTGGCCCAGCTGGTCTTTGATAAAGTTGAGGTATACCATAGACTTCTTCGTAGTCACCGTTTCCTCGGTTTGGTCTTGAAGGCTTCGCGCTTCTTCCATAAGTGTCTGGCGTACGTCTTTCGGTCGATTGTACTTGACAATAACCATAATTTAAACCCGACTTGTCAGTTCTTAAACTTTGTTGCGACGGCTGACTCATTCCAGTAGCATAAATAACGCTGTTCCTATCGTAATCGGATATGGGACTTTTGCTAGTTAAAGTAACGTCTGGTGAGACTGGAGATCTTCGAAAAGATGGCTCGGGCGAGGGTGTAGAGTATTCGTTGGATCCCTCGGTTAATCTCCTAGGTTTAGGCGGTGCATTCGCGTATATAGGCTGACCAAATTTCCTAGGCGTTGATTGAACAACCCCTTGCACGTAGATCAAACCAGGATGCACCTGTGGTTGTTGTTGTTGTTGTTGTTGCTGTTGTTGTTGCTGTTGCTGCTGCTGTAGCTGCTGTTGTTGCTTGTGTTGATTAACCTGAGAAACACTTTGATGCGCTTGATGCAACATCGCTTGATGTTGATGAGAATGACCTTGTTGAAGTTGCTGAGAAACCGAATGTTCAGTAAAACAGTATTGCGGATGTTGATGCTGCGACGAACTGGATTGACCATATTGTGGTGATTGTTGCAGCCAACCATTGGCCACTTGTGGAACTTCTTTTAAATTGTTGTTGTTAGAAGCGGTATTTCCGTTACCGTTGCTCCCGCTAAGATTAGGAAAGGAGGCAGTGTTGACGCTGTTAGGACTGGAATTGTTGTTAGACGCGTGACTGGGATCGTCTCTCGAGAGAAATCCGTGAAAACCTGAATCACTGTCGTCGGCACTTTGATTCAATACGGATGAAATCGAAGAGACACTTGGTCTAGCGCTTCTTTCCCCATCCGGTTGTCCTCCTATTTCGATGACCACTGCAGCCTCGCCTCTTCCGCCGCTAACAACGGAAAAAAAGCAATCAAAAGTATGTATTAGAATGATTTTATCCTAGTACTATCTCGACCTATTCATTCAATCCCATCGTGCCATCGTGCCATCGTGCTTTACCAAACTTATCACCGAAATAGATGTTTGAGTAGGAACTTTGTCGAATTTAACTGACCTTGCTGACCGAGCCTGCTTCCAATAGGAATAATTAGACGAGTACCTACAGGAAACTTTCTCTTACCTAACCGAGTTGGATTTACCGAAGCAAACTTTGTCGAACTACTAACAACTAACGAGTCAAACAGTTACATCGCAATTAGCTACAAACGAGGGAAACTAGATATATCCTAAATGATTGCAATAGAGGTTCGACGGAATGAACGTTGACACAAGTTTATAGCGATAAATAAAAGTTAGGTATATGGTGTATTATTTAGTTTGATGAAAATAGTTTAATAAAATATTATACTCACGGACTGGGATCCTGCAGAAGGGTCGCCAAAGTTAGCGCATTTACCCATTGATTCATACTTTCACGATTCTCAGCTGCAAAGTGGTAGGTCCTCATGTTTGCGTGTTCAGCCTTGAAAGCGAACTTCCTGTTGACCTTGTCTTCGGGTCTGCAAACGGTAACCCTATACGAAGGCAAGAGTATCGACCCCAGGAGTTTCTCTTCTTCTGGACCTACGGCGAGGTTCAAATATAGATATCGATCACGCGAAAATCACCCTGCATATAAAGAATATTGTATAACTCACGGACCGATTCCAAGTGGAATGGGGAAAAAAAATGAAAGTATTCTTTAGGGCGTTAGTGCATTATTACAACCTATAAGACCTATAAGACCTATAAGACCTATAAGACCTATAATAAGACCGTATACTACTCTCTCTTACTCATAACACGTTAGTGTGAAATTGCGACTAAAAGGAAAGGAGTAAAGAATTTTTATTGACTCATGATACTACTACACGGGGAGGATGATTTTGTATATTTGGGGATATGCAAATAGAAGGATCATATATAAAAGCGAAAAAGAGAGAGAGGGAACTGGATACGAACACGCAAAGGGGGACTTTTTCTTTTTCTTTTTCTTTGTCTTTGTCTTTTTTATCTCCTACTTTGGTAAGAAAATAAAGAGAAAAGTTGAAAATTACGGTCCGCGAGGGCTTTGGACGTCAAAAGAATCTAGGAAGAGGGTTTTTCAAACTAACCACCATCTCTTACCGGCAAATATTTGATCCTACTTCGTGGCGGTTTTACTGCGAAGAAAAAGGAAAGAGGGCTTTTCTCGAAAAACTCGATGAAAAAACTTTATTCGTTAACGTTTCGACGATAATAACAAACGATCATACGTAATATTTTTATCGTTAAGCGCGTTTTATTGTTTCTATTATTATAGTTAACGAGATCAAATGATGAAAATTGTTTTTATTTATAAAAGATATTCGACGATACGTTTCACTCGTCAAAAAACTTGAAAAGATGTTGGAAGGAAAATTGATTAAGATCAGGGATTAGTTGTTGGTAAAATTGGATAGATACTCCACACTTTACCACTTATTTTGAAAGGATCGTAAACGCCCCTCCAACCCGTTAATTAAGACTAGTGTTCATCGAATCTAATTAAAACTAAATTTAATAATAACATTTTCCACACACACACACACACACACAGACAGACACACACACAGAGACAGACTTTTCTTCGTCCAATCGTTATCGAAAGAAAGTTAACGGATAACGTTAATAAATTAATATCATACACGTGAATTTCATACACGGATACACATACAACAAACAACACATATACACATATAATAGATAGTATCGACAGGAAAGGAAAAATACTTCGTAAGGTGAGCTAACCTTTGTAGTAGAAGAGACAATACTCGGACAAGACGAACCAGCGTTTCTTCCAAAGCATGAGCCCTTCCGAACCCTGTTTGTGTAGCCAGCCTTGTAGGTGGACCGGTGCAGATAGGGGTCTTTTCGCAGCGGGTGATCGCAATCCTTGGGGTCCGCTTCGTCGTCGGATTCCAGACACGGAAGCCGCCAAACCCGTAGTAGCATCGTTGTTGTTTTTGTTGCGCACCTGGCCGCTACTACCTACCGCTACGACTGCCGTTGTAGCTTGGACAATCTAAAGAAAAAAACCAAATAGAAACTAGATATATCCGACATTTATCAAATTACTCACGTGTACACGGAGCTACTGATAGATACGTTTAATGTTGTTTTATTAAACACAGAGAGTTCTTATTTAACGCTTATAACAGAACGTTAGTGCCGAAAGGGTTAACATACAGAGTCTCCTCTTCCCATTAGAGGCGTTTAGAACGCGTTTAGAACAAATTGCAGAGACGTTGAATGAACGAACTACCGGCACGCTTTGAAAATGCTGAAAGCAACCATATGTGCGGTGGCGTAATCATATGGCGTCCTACACAACAGGACCATTGCTCTATGCTGCTTTCTTTGCTTTACACAACATTCCCCCTCCCCCTCCCCCTCCTATTATCCGTGTACCCAGTCTATAGGTAGGTAAATACGCGATTGGTCGAGCAACTAACGCGTGTTTTACGTGCAACATATGGACCCGTACAAATTCAATGCCCTTTTCAAATCGCATGCGTACGATTTCCAATTTTCGTCAAGATATACACGGTTTAGATTTTTGTCTTCTCAGTCATTGTTTTTGCAATATGTTTTGTTGTTGTTTGTTACCTTTTTGCTGTCCATCCCGGGAGTCGATGTGGTCACCGGGTGTTCGAGCCTGAAACGAAAAAAGAAAGAAAAAATGTTTAACTATTTATGCAAGGGTCTTGTCTAATTGTAAATAATGGTCGATACTTGATGAGGGGGAAACAAAAAAAAAACAGACGGTTAAAAAAGAAAGAAGAGAAAAGAAAATCGAATTTAGCGAGTTTGCTGGTCGCGTACGTTGAAGTAGATTTTTCACTCGCTAGCTTGGAAGAAGTAGACGATGGTTGTGCTGGTGGTTCCTTTTTTTCAACTTAAAGTGCACATCAGCTTCGACCTTATTTTGCAACAATAGAAGCGCCTGCGAATGTGACTTAGTTTTTTTTACGCTGATGATATTGGAAAAAAAAATGCTAGCAGACTCTTCGAGTTGGGCTCGTTTGAAAAAAAAAAAAGAAAAAAAAAAAAAAAAGAGTTCAATCCATTTGGGAGAGTAACCCACCCAGTCAAGTATAAGAAACGTTATGTTTCCAATGAACGTACAATAAGATGTAGATAAATGTCTGGATTGACATTTGAAGAAAATTAGGGAAGAAAATTAGGGAAGGAAATTAGGGAAGGAAATTAGGGAAGAAAATGAGGAAATAGAAAAGGATCGGAAAATTGGATTATCTTGAAAATCGGATATCAAAAACGGGAAGAAATATGTATGTATAATAACTCGAATATAATATTACAAAAGATCTTTTTATCAGAAGAACCCTGTGTGAGAATGAGAATAAGAAGAACGGACCAGATTGTAATAACATTCTTATTAAGCGTTGAAAGTAAATTTAATTAAGGACATTAAATAATCCTTTTTACTACGGCATTACCGTGTCTAATGTAATCCGGGAAGACCGGCTCATCTCGCAAAGTTCCCTTCTCTTACAGAAAATTATCATCCTTAAGGGAATTGAGAAAAATAAGAAGGTCCAAATTGCGTCAGGGTGTTTTTGGCTAAAGGAAAATCTACTTTACTTTCGTATCCTTTCCTTTTAACCAATTGTTTGATACATTTACTAGGCTTTGTTGTAAAACAAGTGTGTTTTTTAGTAAATTATAAAAACATACAAAAAATAATACCACACTACGTTAATAGTCTTGTATAGAGAAATGTCATTTTTCTAAAGCGTGAAGATAATGTGTTGCAATATTTTGTCCAGTTAAGAAAATAAAAAATGTAAGAAGGAACCACCTTTTGTCGTCCTAACGTCGTCTCAATGTCGTTGCTGGCGAAAGACAAACGATAAAACATTTTTCAAAGTCGCATGATCCCTCTTACAATTGTGCTGTCTCCCTCCCGTATGACGTTGATGTCCCCTTTTTTCGTGGTATTCATGGTAGATCCATAACTCAAGTTGCAAATAAACGAGTAAACGACAATCTATCGGAGCAAACAAATGGAACAATTGGAGATAGGGTTAAGAAAAAAGAAAAAAGAAAAAAGAAAAAAGAAGTCAACCTACTTGGAAAGATTTTGTTCTTCGCGTTGGTTTAAGTAAGATAAAAAGTTGTTCAGATATGTATTTGATCAATTAACCCATTCGAGAGACCAATTGCACACCGTCTACAATTATTCTTTCTTTTTCCCCTTACATCCTTTGTCAAAAGTTAGATACATTTAGTTGAAATCATTTTTATCGAGACTAATTAAAAGTTATTTAATCTTCATTTTACTTTAATCAGATTCGATCAATTTTATATAAGATATTGAAAAGATAAAACGACCAAAAGTATCTTCACGTAATTTATTGGATAAAATCAAGATAGAGGAAAATATACCCTTAATCGTGAACGTATTGAGAGCCTAACCTCAAAGTGCTAACGAGTTTCAAGGATTTACATGGGTAAACCATGGCTTGCTGCTGCCTATGTACTAAAGTATTTACTAAAGCATATGTAGATACTAGATAGATCGGTTGTTTCACACGTATGCATACACCCAAGACGACACTTGAAATAGTCCTTTGTGTTGCCACCAGGACAGGTCCTTGATGCTAAAATCAATAGATACTATATGCAGATGCGATTCCGAAACTACGATGGTAGGGTACGAAGGAACTATTAGCAAAACGGGACATACATATATACATATATATATTAACGTGCGCATCGCCTTCCAAATGTTTTATACGATTCAAATGATCACGATTGATCATTTACCTTGTTTATTAGACCTTAAAGTCCTCCTCCCGTAAGTCACGTGGTAAGTCACTGACTAATACTTTACAATGTTGTTAAATATTTACCGTAATCACTTAAAACTTAGTGAAAAATATCAATATTATAAACCTGAGGACCGTTAAGGTCCAAGTACGAATAATACAAATAGAAGAAATAGAGAACAATAGAGAAGAATAGGTACGCTATTACCGAAATTACCTACTAGAAAACCTATTGCTTAGATTGAATACAATAGAATACAATTCAATGCTGATATTTATTTAATATATAAGAATTTGGATTTTCTATTTAAATACCTGTACGATATGAATTTGATCAAAGAATTTCAATGAAATCAAAAGATTTGCAAAGAAACCGGTTGTTAAAGGAACAAGACAAAGAAGAAGTGAAAGAAATATTTCTTTTTTCTTCCTTTCGTAATCGATTTTATTCGAAATATACGATCGATCGATCGATCGAATTTTCTTCTCTGTCTTCTTAAAATAAAAGGCTAAAAATGACTCTCTCAGTGGCGTCTGACATCGTTTTCTACTTTCGTCGTTTCACGTGTCCAAAGTCCGTTTGCCCTGGAGACTTGGATATTTCGAAACATTCCCTTCGTCCACGGAAAATGGGAAACGAGCAAAAGGAGAAAATAATGTATCGATACAACGCGGACAAACTTTTCTAAATAAAAGCTCTTTCTTCTTCTGGCCAATGATCAAAATCACAAGAAGTCTGTGTTTTATACTTTTCTTTTTTCGTAGCCTCGGGGGGTTCTAGCCATTGTTCTTCATTCAAAAAGAAAAAAGAAAAAAGAAAAAACAAAAACAAAAAAAGGAACGAAGAACCTTATCGGTCGTCAGGTTTCAATATTCATGATTTTCACTAACACCTTTATATATATATATATATATAGAAATTCAGTGTCACACACATTTGTGGTTTCCAATGAACTTTGAAACTACTGAACCACCGATCTTAATAAAATATTGAATGCTTTTAAAATATCAATAAATTATATCAATTCCTTATGTGTTAAAAGAATTCATGATAATAATCGCTGTAAAACCATCGTTCTACACCAAACAGACATTTAATCGGTAGCTTATAAAATGAAATAAAAAAAAGAAACAATTAACAAATAAAGTAATAGGAATTGAATATGAGATATAATCGAGAAAATAAATTCTTACCATTCGAGGAAATTCCAGAGGCACGTGAACATGTTGTAAATCGTACTTTAAACAAAGCATGGAACGAACTTTTAAAAATTGTCGTGTGGTACTCGACTTTTTCTTTTTCGCTTTATTTTTATCCGTCACTCTGTTTCATTCTCCACCTTTTTTCAGCGCAAGAGCAGACACAGCCCAGACGAAGAGATGGATTCTTCTTCTTTTGACGGTTTGCCTACCCTCAACCGCATTGATTCTTACATTTTCAGGTGTATCTTCAAACTCATATTCTAACTTTTGCAGACTTTTATTTACGAAAACTTATGCGAAATTATATTTCGTTCTTTCAAAAGTATCATATTTATCAATATTATTCTAGAATGATCGTTAACTAAAAATCAAATGTTGTTCAAAATTGTCAAAGAGGATTGTCACAGCATGAAAGCATTGAGATTTTGTACTAAAAACTCGATTTTTTAAGATTATACTAACTTCATCTTTTTGCATCATACCAACACGCCTGTCATCCGATTTAAAAAAAGAAAAAAACTCAACTATCTAGAAATTCAAAAAGGTTTTTATTTTAAATCTTGTCGTAACTTGACGTCGACCTAATATAAGTTTAACATTAAGTAACGGACACCGCAAAATTCTATATCCACTCGTAACGTAATTCACAAAGGTCTACATGGTGGTTTTTAACGCGTATAATACGCGTCGCATATCGCACCAGAGAGAGAGAGAGAGAGAGAGAGAGAGAGAGATAACATATTACTATTATTATTATTATTATTATTATTATTATTATTATTATTATTATTATTATATTCTATTTACTCACTATGGTACAGTATACAAAATTTGAAATTCATTCTTGGAACTAGTCGGTTTAAATTTTCAAACTTTTCAACTAGAAATGTTTTATCAATAAAATAAAAGAAAACTATTTGAAACAAATAAAATAATGAAAAACAATTTGACAAATATTTCAAAGAGAAATAAACGAATAACCGAAAGAAATATGCGTTCAAGTTTAGTGTCATTTCTGAGAGTACGCGTGACAGGGTTTAAAAAAAAAAAAAAAAAAAAAATCCTATGAGTAAAGAAAAAAAGGTAAATCGCGGTGCTTATTTTCGAGCGCGGTAGACGAACGATCGACAAGGTCAACGATGCACCCTTGATGCATATCTCGAACCCTCTTCCTTTTATTTTATCCTCCTGACATTCTAACCGTCTATCTTATTCTAAATTCTTTTCTTTCCATTTTTTTCATTTTAAACAGTATCTAACAATAAATCGATTGTTTTCTTCCAAATAAAGAGAAGACGGTAGAAAAATATTTTCTATTTTTCAGTAGAATAGAAATAGAAGTTGCATTTGTAGGAATATTCAAAAAGAAACGATGAAGAAAATGAAAGAAAATTTACGAACTGGTTGAGAAAAGATTTCAATTGCAGGCATAGTGAAAGATGGTGGTAGGTGGAAAAGGTTGAAAGAATGTGAACAAAGGTTCGGGTCTAAGATTAAGGTAGTTTCTCTGCAAGGAAGAGAAATAGCCATAAGAGATCAAGCTCGAACATAAATTTGAAAGATCGATGGTCGGTTGGTCGGTTGGTCGGTTGGTCGGTTGGTCGGTTGGTTGGTTGGTTGGTTGGTGGTTCGTTGCTCTCTCTGGTACTCACACACTCGCGTCACTTGGCGTGACACGTCAAGTTCATCGATTCGCTAACTTTCTACGTCTCTCGATTCGCTAATTCTAACCATCTTTCTCGTTTGTTCTTCCCAAAAAATGTCTTATTTTTTGTTATCATCATCGTCACACAAAAAATGACCACTTCTTCCTATCTCTGTTTATAAAAAAATCAGTAAATTAAAATAACATCGAGAAAGAATTTCTTTAACGAGATTCTAATGATAAAGTTAGATTAAAAATCAAATAATATCATTTCATTTGTTAGAAAATCATTAAACGCAAATATTCAAATATATACATATTATACACGAGTTGGTACGAATTACAATCGGTTGATTCGATTAATAAATAAAATGTGAAAAAACAATCAACACAAATCGACAAAATAGAATAATTTGTCGTTAACGGATAGACTTTTGGGCGTGCGGAAAGGAAGAAAATGCCGGAGTTGGCCGACTCGTAACGCGTCGAGAGGAAAACTGGCATGCGCCTTCACCCTCTACGTTCAGCAGATCCTACCCCTACCACGACGACCTCAACCCTCTTCTGTCTCTCTCTCTCTCTCTTTTTCGTTTACACGTTTCAACCCTCGTGGCGCCCCCTTTGGAAATTGCCGACGGCGCATTGTCCTTTACCACCCGGGTGCCTTACTGTTCCCCTTGCCTGCTCTCCTACCCCCTGACCGTTTCTCTACGGATATCAGGCTGATGCCCTTTGTGACACTGAGGGAAAGAGAAATAGAAAGAGACCACGAGAAAGAACGATGACGACCGACTATTACGCAGTTTGCCCTAGGCATCCAGATAAGAGAATTAAACGAACATTAAATTATCCCTGCTTCCTGTATCCTTCTTTCAACTGAAAACCCGAGTTATCAGCGAGTTCGTTTGTCTCTGTTTTTCCTACTTTTTCTCTTTCTCTTTCTCTTTCTCTTTCTCTTTCTCTTTCTCTCTCCTTCCTTCCCTCCCCCCTCTCGTTGCAGATACACATCGCGTTCGTCATGATCGATTTTAAGAGAATCCCCCCCGTCCACTAGCTACGCTACGCGCTACGTATGTACCTAGAAATACGTTGCTAACAATTTGGATATTCATAACGTCAAGAGCGAGCGAGAGAGCAAGAGAGACAGCAAGAGAGAGAGAGAGAGAGAGAGAGATTTCAATAGGGAACTTTAAGGCTATACCACGAGTAGAGAAACTTCACAGACTCCTTGTAACTAACTACGGCGCTAATTACGAACGGTATTTCAAGAAGGCGTGTAAAATATGCTAAGAGATAGTGGCATGCCACTTCCTCTACTACCCCATCCGTGATAATTATAACCCCCTCAACGTTGTGGCATCGTCTAATAAATAAATAAATTAATAAGTCTATTTTTCTATGGATAAAGATAAGTTGGATTTAAAAAATGTTTAACGAGATTTGTCGATTTGAGACAGAGGTGGTATATATATATAAGTGCCCCTTTAAAGAGTAAAGTTCCTTTTGATAGCGCGACGAGGAAAACCCAGAGCATACTCGATCGAGCGTAACGTAGGAGGGTGGACGAGTATAGGGGGAAGCAGATGAATGAAAGACACACTTACTGGCCACGTTGCTACGAGCTACGAGCTACGAGCTACGAGCTACGACCCTTTTTTCTGCAGGGACAACCGATTAACTCGAAGGAAAGCTGGAAGAATGAACGTGACGACGACGTATCCATAAAGGACGAGCGGTAATGTGTGTGTGTGGATGGTTTTATTTCAAAAGATACATACTAAGTATTCAACAAAATATAAAATAAATAGATAAACGTACAATAAATAAATAATACAAAAAATAGAGGGATATGATTGAGAACTTTTAGAAACTGACGACAAGATTAGTAATAACTACCAGCAATAAGTGAAATTGATGTAAGTCATCTTTACTGGCGCCAAAAACGAACAAATTTTGATGAAACGTGCTGACACGACAAAGTGTTAATACTTTTCACTCTTGAACTTTAACAATGCTAGCTAATGCGAGGCTACTTATCATCTTACTCCTATTTAAAAGTTTTCATAATCAGCATGGGTCTGGAAACGTAGCGGAAACGGTTCGCTAAAGATTCCCATGGAAACGACGACTTATCCCTTTTTACTACTTTCGAGTGCTCGTTAACGAAACTTTCATCGTGTTTTCATATCCAACTAAAAATTTACTCTCATTACTATCAATGGGATGAAATTCTCTTTTTCAGGAATGGGGGGAGGCAGGCCTATACGTACCTCGGATGCAAGGCGCAACCGCGTTGCACCGTAGGATCGACGCTCGACGATGATGACGGCGATGATGCTGGTGATGCTGGTGGTGCCAATACCGAAGATGATCGTAGCCCTGCTGGAGAACGATACGAGACCGGCAACGCTTCATGTCTGCCCAAATGACTACCTCGATGATCGCGAAAATTATCTGGAGAAGTCCCAGTCACCTGACAATGCGATCTTGGTTGCCCACTGAAACGACAACCATGAGGTAAACTTATTTGAACATTCATTTTGACAATTTGCATTTCTCTTTTGCATCCTTACAACCTTCCATATATCCAATAACAAATGGCCTTAAACAAGATAATTTCAAATTCAAATAAACGAAATAATTTTTTTCAGAGGTGTATTCTTATCGACCGTTGAAAAAAAAGGATAGTTCCGCAGTATTGCATACTCGTATCGATGCAAGATAAAACAGGAAACTTTGATATCGACGCATTTTCCTTTATAAAAACCGGAAGAAAGGAATGCATTTTTTTTTTTTTTTCCAATTCTTTGCAAACACGAGAATTAACGTTTCGCGCTAGAATCGGCTGAAAATGTTTGCCATTTAGCAACGGTACACCCAACGGAAGTTCTCATCATCGCACCTGCTTACAATTACGAGGAAAAGGAAACAACACCTTGTTGCAGTAGTCGACGTGAACCGATTATCCCATCTGTTTGTTTACCCACACTTTAAGACTGTCTCTAACGGGTAATCAACTTTTACATTGGTCAAATAAAAACTAACGTTATTGCCTAATCGTCCTGTAAAACGACAGCAAATATCACACTGTTCGTATTTAAACAAGATTAGAGTACAAGGATGGCAGGGGATAGAGGACGAGGGATTTGGAGGGAAAGGATGACAACGTGCAACGCACCGAATCATAGACTGGAACACCGACACTGTGAGACCGGAAGTACCACAGGGGGCTCCTTCGCCAACGGTTATTCTTATCTCCAGCGCAACTAATATCTGAGCTGGGTTTACGAGTTTACAAGTTTACTTCTTCTACTTCTCTTTCTTATCATTTATCAAAAAGATAAGAAGACGAACAAAGTTTCGATTATAAGACATAATCGAAGTTTAAAAAAAGAAACCGAACACAGATTCGAATATCCATGAAATATTTTATTCAACCTGATTTCTTTTAGCCAAATTCCAGCCAAATTTCAGTCAATATTCCAAAAGAGATAAAAGTATTCACTTGAAAAAGTTACAAATTCGACAAATAGAAAGTAGGAACGAAGAAACACGATGGTAGTAAGTTTGGGTAAAAAAGTAAGAGGAATGTATGACAAAGAGAAGTATAGGATGGTTCGTGAAAGATGATTGGATACGATGAATCACCGATTGTACACGAGTGTACACCTGCTGAATACGATGCACACACGATGCGACGAGGAAGGACAAGCACGTCCGTTGTTCGGGAAATGTTGGAAGGCGAATTGAAACGCGACTGGGTTGCGTATAACGAATGACTTTGGAATGACGAGATGCAGGAAGTGTCTCGTCGTGCTTGACAGTTTTACTGTTTTGTAGATAAAGAAAATATTTTGCTAACAACTATAGTAAAAAAAGGTTTTTAAAAACTGGGTTCCGGTAGATGAACACGTGGACATGAAATTTCCCCAATAGTTACGGATTTTACGTTGTTATATACCTGGTGACGTTGTTGCTTTTAAAACTGACCATTCTCGTCTCGATGCAAATTTTCTAACACGAGCACGTAAACGCTCGCAAACGCACACATTGTTTTTTCAAAGCACACTCTATAATCGTAACTCTTCGATTGACTCTCATATTCGTCAAACCAACTGATGACACCATCCCCACTTGTTAAAATTTAAAAAAATAAAAGGAAATGTCACGTGTTGACGAAGTTTTAAGCAAGGAAGAAACGCGCATAATTTGAGTAAAGAACTCTCAGCGTTTCCGGGGCCGACTGAAGAGACGGTAAAGCTTTGACTCTAATCCCATTCCCACTACTCGTGACTTACCACCACCTCCTATCTTTCTACTCATGAGACTAGGGAAGGGCGAGCTATAGGTCGACGAACGTCCATTTTTCTTCCCCATGGACGACGTGTCTCCGATGACACGGCGGGCCCTTACCCGCTACTAACTATACCTACCTTCGGTTGTCCATCCTCTCGTTTTCATTCTCTTTTTCTTTTTTTTTCTTTATTTTCTTCTTCTTGTAGATACTGTCATACTCTCTTATTTTCAATCGCATTCTTTGGTATAACTTTCTATTCGATAAATATCAAATATCGTTGTATATGTAAAAAAAGGCTCGCAGTTTGGATAAAAATGGTGTTATGTTAGTTTATGATATGCAGTTAAACTCTTAGACACTGCTAAATTTTGCGCAGTGGTGTTTTTCTGTACCGACACAGGGTTCAATGAAAATTACGTGTACATTGAAATGATGTTTTTGATGATTAAATTATAATTTCTCTTAAAGACAAGATACACATATACTTTAATTTTGAAAATTTATTTTAATAATTAATAATACAGTTGGTACAAAAATGGTGAGCGAGTGAGCTAATAGAGTGAGCCACTAAAGTGGTGCGTCGTGCCTAAGAGGTTAAATGAAGTTGGCGAAAAAGAATCTCAACGATGCGTATTACGAGTTTATCGTAAAACGTCTCGCAACGTTTTCAAATTGTTCTCTTCGAAAATGGGTGAATTTTGATAAGGATTTTACTCATCGATAGAAATGTTGGTAGGTACAAGTATAGCAGATACGTCACATCAGTGGATGTTATTAAACCAACGGATATACTATACTGACCATAGCACAACCCACAAACGTTGGTGTCCTTCCTCTCGCTCTCTCTTCTCCCACTTCTCTCTCTCTCTCTCTCTCTCTCTCTCAGTCATTCTCGTTGGTATAGATGGAACTCTTGAACCGTAAATACGAACCGCTCTGAACGAATAACGAAACGAATGCATCCTACCTACTTCCTTCAACAATCCAATGACGAATATAATCTTTACAAATGATATTTTTCAATCTGATGTAATAACATTTTCCAATTGTTACTTTATTTTTCAATATTCCTACTTTATGTTAGTTATTTAACCTTTTAGGTACTACGCGCCACTATAGCGGCTTTCGCTATCGCCATCTTCCAGTGCGAAGCGTCACTATAATGGCTTTGGCGGATAATATCTTTTAAAATATATTATACCTAATTTTATTATTAATTATTTAAGTAAATTGTCTAAGTGAAAGTATATATGTATCATTTTGTTGAGAACAATTTATAATTTAATTATGAAAAACTTTATTCGCACAACATTCAGCCGTACCTAAGAGTTAAAAAATCTTTAATTGCATCGACAAAATGTAGATTACAAAAACATTGAATTGAAGACAAATTTCGTATTGTTTATTTCTTCTTTTATAAACGTTACATTTCTTTATTCCTTTCTTTTCTTGTGCTATTGATTATTCACCAAAGAAAACAAAATTCAACGAAGCAAATTTGAGGGAGAAAATAAGGAGACCGATATACGATGGGGAATATAAAAAAAAAATCTCTTTTATTTTTGTGTTCAACGTAGCGTCAATTTTTCGTTCCCATCGTTCATACAACACAAAGAACTTCCGCGAGAAAAAAAAATGGCTGGGCGGCCTGTGCGAGACAGTGAACAAGAGTTAATGGTGACAATCCAATTTATAACATATATATATTTTAATTCTCTTTCGTCAAGAAATGATTGTTGATTAAAATATAATTATTAGGAAAATTTGTCGTGGTAGGCGAAGTTATTCGACGAGGCTCACTCTGGATGCTCACACTTGATGCCCACTCGATGCCAATCGTGAGCCAAGTGTGTCACGCACATGTTTCAAACGTGTTTCAAACGTGTTTCATATTCTCGACAAGAAACAGCTAAAGAATCCTATCGAAAATATTCGTGCCACGTGTCGGCCAATAGTGAAAAATAAAATTAAAAAGAAGAAGAAGAAGAAGAAGAAGAAGAAAATTTAACGAGCAAATATTCAAGCAGCAGTGCAAAACCTTGTTACAATTATTTTATCATCGAATTATTATAGTATAAAAGATCAATTTTTTTCTCTCTTTTTGGAAGACTTTTTTGTTTTAAAGGGGCTATCATTGATGTGAAATTTTGAACAAAAATTGATTGTTTTTTGCATATTTAAAATAACAAAACTCATTTGAAATTTCAGAATATATTCTTAAATGTGTGTATAAAAGTATCTTAAAATATCAATAAATAATATAAATTCCTTACGTGTTAAAAAAATTCATGAAAATCGTTGTAAAAACGTCGTCATTCTACACCTATCTCTCCCCCCCCCCCTCCTTAACGTGAAATCAACGTAATTATTGTATACGTAAGAATATCACGTAATATAGATTTCTTTTTTCCAGCGACTTTCGTTTATTTCAAACAGTTTCGAACAAACTATTGTATCCGGTCACAACATATATACGTAAGTATTTACTTTTCTTCTACGTAGAAAGAAAAAAAAGAAAAAGAAACTCTGGTCCTCCGTAAAGTTTGTACGGTCGAAAGTACTCACTATCGTTTTTCGGTGCAGAAACTTCCACGGCTAGGCCAAACGAAATTGTCTCCAGACGACTATCTATTTCGCATCCAAGGTTCTCTCTCTCTCTCTCTCTCTCTCTCTCTCTCTCTCTTTCTTTATCTATCTATCTTTATCGGTGGCAGACGCAACGAAAATTTTTCTACCGACTCAATTCCCTCCAGGGGGAAACTTATTTTGCTCGATCTGTCTTTCTTTAGTTTAACAAAAAGAAAAATGCAAAACATGGCAAATGTAAAAACATGGCATTCCCCTAAATTCGATCGACGGTAAATTCGATTAACGGTACACGAAGTGAAAAGATGTTTAAAGTAAGGTGCAATTTTAAATAAAACTCTCATTGTCAGAGAAACTTTCCTGTTCTTCGTTTTTCGTATATTGCGTAGTTTGTGCGTTATGTAAGACGACATTTTATTTAGTAATATTTTTAGTATTGCGTCGTTTTATATTTTTTTTACTTTTTATTTTTTTTTTTTTTTGTTATTGTCAAGGGAACAACGATCATGATTTTTATCATCATCGTAAACGTTCGTCCTTTACGACGAATTCGTATTATAATCTAATAGTAAATAGGAAAGAAAGAAATAAGGAAGAAGTTCGCATATAGATATGTACTCGTTTTTATTCGAAAATGGTAATAATAATAAAAATTGTCATCGTCTTAGAATAGTGTGGTCGTGTGTGCAGCGATCGATAATATTCTTTTTATACGAAGCACGACTACTGCAGATAAAGAAGGTTTACAAGTATAAGTTGGATGAGTATGAGTTGCATTTGTTATTCGTAAGAAAGATTTGTTTAAAGTAACGTCTGACGGTCAATGAGAAAAAAAGAAAAAGAAAAATCGCAATGCGTAATAATATTTTTTGGAATAGTTTGATAATGTTAGCAGCGCTTTCAATTCTTTGGGATTTAAGAAACGAAGGAACAGCCCTGTCTCTGCCTATTGCAGATTCTCATAGTGACATTTACATTATTTTTCATCGACGAAAGAAAAAGAAGAAGAAGTATCATATTATCGAAGTCAGATCACCAGAAGCATCTGCCGCACATCGTGAGATTTACTTCCCTTCTTAAGTGTTTTCACATTTGTTTCCTGGAAGAGAGGGGATACTGTAGACGAAGATTCCTTTTTTCTTTGGAAACAATAAGTTTTATATTTAATTTTCTGTTTGAATACGCTTTCGATTTTATGTGTGTTAGTTAATCAAACCTTGCGATAAACATATGAAATAAAATATCATGATATATGATAGGCAGCAGGAGGAGGGGTATAAAGGTATTGTTGTTTAACTTAAGAGAAACCGTTAGCGATAACATTCAAGACAAGAGGATGCCGGGGCGATAAAAGATTGCCGCTTCCGAAAAAAGTCTGATATTTTCCGATGTGTATTGAAAAGCCCCACCTCCAGTAGAGCCCTCCAGTAGCCCTCCAGTGGGCTACTACGATAATACAATTTAATCGTAAACGAATACGAAAATGTATCAAACATGAATATACCATGGATATGAACTGTATTCAACTGTAATTGCATTGCGAAGAAATTACACAAAATACGAAGAAAAAGAAAGAACATTTTTCGTCAAATACAGGAAGAGAGACCAGTGTTTTTTTATTTTTTGCCGTCTTTTTCTTTTTGTACCTTTTAACCCCCGTTGAATCATCCTAGATCATATTCGTCGATAGGAACGTCCATGCGTCTTTTATATACCTATTGAAGAAGGCAACGTCTTACCTTGACCCAGCACTTCCGGCTTTCGCCTGGTACAACTCTGACTTTGCGTAAGCGGCTCTGCTATGTGCGATGCGTTTTATGCTTTTTCCTCCTGTCCCTCTTCCTCTCTCTCTTTCTCTCACTCTTTCATCATCAGGTGCACGTACACAGACAAACCGAGTTTTCACAAAAATTCAAGTAACGATGCGTACATGTGTAAATTTTAATCATCACTAATTTACCTATCGTTAAAATTATATCATATATGTAAAGTTTGATATATAAATATGTAAGAATTAATATATTATAAATTTACTATGAGGTTATGTAGAAAATTCTCATCGTTGGAAACTCAAAAATGAAGGGAGAGAGAGAGAGAGAGTACCATCTGCTTCGATCCAGTTAGACCTGTTGGGAAACAGGTGGAAATTTCCGGTCAAATATTTATTAATTTCCGGTGTTCGCGATTCACCCTTGTTTCCGCGTGATAATTAAATCTCTGCCAAATATATATCTCTCACGTGGATCGGAAGGAAACGTTTCCCTCTACCCCCTTTTTTTTCTTCTTCATATTTACCATGAATAAGTCGATTAAAAAAACAAAAAATATATTTGTAAGAGTCAATTGTACG